GTGGCTTTGACTGAATAAAAGCAGACAGGTCTAATCATGTCAACAAGGTGAAAGTTTAGTTTTTAATTAATTTTCCTTGTGAAGCGCTGGTTTTACGTTTAGCTGTCAGTTTAGCTGACAGCGTTCTTTCTCTAATGGTTGTTGAGTTAACCGTGGCAGTTAGCTGCTCCTACAGTGAGCTAAATCTAGAGGCTAACTCGGAAGCTAGCTCCTGCTGACGATAACCTACACCTACTCATATAACCCCTCACTGTCGGTTCGGTCCAGTAGTCTGACCTGGTTCGGTTCATTGTGATGCTCTAGTCCGTGGTCGTGCTCAACACCGTCAACCTCCACCTCAAACACTCCTGCCATCTTCGGAGAGCTTCTTTACCGTTCCGGGGCCATTGGCATTAGCAGAGCGGCTTAGGAGGGTCACTTCCGGTTTTAGATACTTTCAAAATAAAATTCTGAATTAAATGTAGGTCAAATTGTAAAACGGTTGGCTTTTATTGTCATATGCCAAGAACAGACGCACCAAATATATGCTGATCCCAAATTCATATTTTTAAATGAATTTGTGATTCTGATTCTGTGAATCAGATAAGTTTAGCTTTTAAATTTTACCTTTACTTTACATTTATATTCAAACATCTTTTAAATGTGAACAAAGATCTTTCACTGGAGAGGAATTGATGCAAAACTTAAAAAAAAAAACATGGGATATGTAAAAGGTTTTATTGCTCTTATTTGACTCTTTTTCACATGTTTTTGTGAAGAAAAACTTGATAAGGAAATGGTAGAAAGTCACTATTATCTTAGTTAAGACTTACTAGAACAGGTGTAACCAGTGCCACTTTAACCTGACTAGAGGTCCTGGGGCACACAATAAACCCACCATATGGTTACACATCCATTTTTATATTCTCCTTACTAATTATTTGTAAAAGATGTTGTAATTTTGACAAACTGACTTTAATAACCAAGTAATATGTTATAATCAAATATAATCTGTGACCCATATTTAACACCAAACGTGTGCTTTTGCTGGGAACATTGCACTGATAAGCAATAAAGCTATAAATCAAAGACCCATTTAGAAATGGAATAGAAAACTCTTAAAACATTGTATTCAATATAAATAGACTTAACAGCTAAACAGACTTAACATGTATAAAAAATTTTTTAAATATGATAAGAGATTGATAACTCTCAAAAATGCAGTACCTGAAATGAAAAGTATTATTCTAATAAATAAACTGTGGACTTGCAATGAATAATTAACAACATAAATCAAAGACCCATTTATGGATAAAATGAAAGACTACACAATACTGCCCTCAATTAAACTTAAATATTTCATTTACTAAACATATGTACTGTGTATTATGTACATGTGAACTGCCAAAACTATAAATACTCCATATAAATATTTATGCAAATGATTTGATAAACAAGGGACAGTAGAATTTCTTATGTGTTGCATTGGTCTACTCAAGGAAATTCTCCAACTATAGCTAATTTAAAAAAAAATGTAGAAAACAAAAGTTTAGTTTATATCAAAGATAAAGCAGCCTCAAAAGAAGCAAACGCCCATCAAAGCTGTTCTTGCACACTCGCCTGCAGCACATTGACACCTGGAATAGTAGATGAAGCTCTCCAATGATTCTCTGTTGCCTTGAAACATTATTAATGGGCTTTTTTCTTTTCTTTTTTTTTTTTACGGGCTCATCCAGAAATGACTGACGGATTGATCAACATATTAGGCTACATGTTAGCTACAATTTCTTGTTTCACATCATAGTGGGCCCCTGGTAAATGTGGGCCCTTAGGTTTTCAGTCCAGTCTAGCCCCTACGTTAAAGCGGCTCAGGATGTGACAAGCAGAGACGTATATAATCCTCCCGCCACATTATGGTGTTAAATAACTGCGCTCTGGATTCTGATTGGTGCGTTGGTCATGCTGCCTTCACGAGGTCTGGTAAAGAGGAACCTTTCCACTTGTAAAGTGGAAATTACCAGCGCATTGTGTTCAAATGATTTTTTTTTTTTTTTTTTTTTTTGTTAGAGAAGAAAAACATGTTGGAAATGTCAAAGTTTACGTCATCTCGGCAACTCGACTACCGTAGAATCTTCCCAGCTTTCCAATGGAAATTACGACATGAGTGAGTGTTCATGTGGAATTTGTAGTTGGATTTTGGTATTCATAATAATAACGACACCACTTGAATGCACCATCAGCCCTGATTGGTTGAAAAAACCCGGCTCTGTTCCTAATGGCTCTTTCAAGTGAGGGTAAACCTATTATTCAGAATAACATTCGTAAAGTTTTTTTAGTTAGTCAAACCCTGTTTGGTTTCTTTGGTTTGTTTAATAAAGAACTTTATTTTTTTTAACAGAGTTTGTTTCATCTTTTCTCGGGTGGTTACAGTAAGGTTTGGCATGACACTGTTAGAGATTTATATAACATTCAAATGATTGTGGAGAGTAATAACTGTGGTATGAATGGAAGGCAGAAAGAAGAGGTAGTCATATCTCGACTTAGAATTGGTGAATAGGGAAACTTGCAGTTACTGTAACCAGATGGAAACAGTGGAACATGTCTTATTAGAATGTAATAAATATACAGAGGAAAGTCAGCACTTAAAGTATAAAAAAAAAAAAAGAATTTTCTATGATAGCACTTAGGGATTATTTTAAATTCAATTAATTCATATAAAAACTCTTGTTTATTTAATCGTATTTAAACTATTAAAGATTAAAAAAATTATATATGGGTGTGTATGGATATAAATTTGCAGATTCTTGCAAACCATTGAGGTATGTATTATTAATTTTCCTCCTTCTTTATTTGGATCTATATTTAAATATATGCATATATAGAGAGAGTATATTTATATTATTTTGTGTGGTTTGTTGTATGTATATATATATATATATATATATATATACTACAGATGTGTATATATATATATATATATATATATATATATATATATATATATATATATATATATATATATATATATATATATATATATATATATATATATATATATACTACAGATGTATAAATATATATATATACTACAGATGTATATATATATATATATATATATATATATATATATATATATATATACAGTGTTGGGAAAGTTCTCTTTCTACGTGAACTAGTTCAAAGTTCAGTTCACACATTTTAAAATGAACTAGTTCAGTTCATAGTTCACAATTCCAAAAAACGAACTAGTTCATAGTTCTTTTTTTTTTTTTTTTTTCATATATTGCTCAATTACACCATAGCCTACTGTAGAACCACAGACAGCAATTATTTTATCAGTTGTAACTCTGAAACTGTGCGTCGGATTTCATCTTCATATCCAGTTTTGAATCCTTATCCAACCAGGGTTTACATTAGCATTGAGGGGACAGCATTTCCCCATTGTTGCTTTAATGCTTTGTTGCTGTCCATCACTTCACACTAGTAGCAGCTGCAGCTTTCAACCCTACAGTATATTCTCAAAAACATCAGGAAAAATGTGCTGCTTGAATGGTCTTTTTTATGAGTAATTATTAAAAGAAAAATAGGAAAGTAGTCTTTAAGGTGCAAATGTTTTTTTTTTTTTTTTTTTTTATAATTTTTTCCATTTGAAATTCCATTTCAATACATACTAAAAAGGAATCCTGGAAAATTATACCAGGCAGGTTTAACAAACAAGTTACATGGATAGTAAAACCCTCAAGAACAGGGGTCTTCTTTTCCAGACCAAGGACCCCCAAACTGATGGCGAGATGGAGCGGGGACCCCCTATTTATATATATTGTATGAAATTGTGTCCTATAGTCACTCTATTACAGATGGAGTAATGTAAAGAAATTAATTTCTCCCTGGGATTATAAAAGTTTTTCTGATTCTGATTCCTGGTTGATGGGACAGGTGTTGTGAAGGAAACGGTGCCCAGCTTGAAAGAGCTCCTGTGTGTCGCTGAATGTGAGCATTGATGACTGAAAGACATCTTCTGCCTCCATTTATCTGTTTACTACAGTGCGTTGATTTCATGTTAATGAGTATTTAAAGATATTTCAATTAGTGGGGGAAAGAAATGCAGGGGGGGAATATAAAAATATCAACTAACCATGCAGACGCTCATGCAGTACCTCCGTAGACCCCCTAGGGGTCGCGGATCCCCCGTTGAAGACCGATCAAGAAGATTTTACTAACACAAACTGAGGGACCAGGCTGAGGTATGGAGAGATATTTGTGCCATCGGTTTGAGCGCGCAGGAACCAATCCGAGCGCGCAGTGAGACAACACGCGCGCGCGCAAAACCGGTCTGGCGCGCGCTCAACTAGAGAGGGTTTTTCAGAGTTGAGCGCGCGCCAGACCGGTTTTGCGCGCGCGCGTGTTGTCTCACTGCGCGCTCGGATTGGTTCCTGCGCGCTCAAACCGATGGCACAAATATCTCTCCATACTGAGGTAGGAATTTAAGGTTACTGAAGTGCGGATTTTTTTACTGAAAGCCGGCGGGCAAACTTGTTGCCATCATCCTGGTCATAAACCTGTTTTAAGTCGCCTACATGCTGCTGTTGCTTCCACGCTGCATTTTGTTTTGATGACGCACGCGGCTGTAGGCTACGACGCTGGTAGCTGGTGTTGCCAGATTGGGTGTTTTTCCCGCTACATATTAAGGCCTGTTTACGGTGTGATTTAGCCGGGGTTTCGCCTGGGGGGCTTTATAGAAATCTGGCAACCTGTTAAACGGACTTGAACTGAGAGAGCGTGTAGTTCACATACGCCAGAATGAACGAGTTCACAATAACGTTCACCAGGCAATAATGCAGTACGTTCAGTTCACGTTCGCCCAAAATATGAACGAGTTCATGAACTTTCGTTCAATGAACGCGTTCAGGCACAACACTGTTGTATATATATATATATATATACATCTGTAGGTGGCGGTAAATGCGCCTTAAGTTGGTTGCCATCCACCGTTAAAAAAAAGAAGAAGAAGAAAAACAAGGCTCTTTCCATAGGCTTTGACTGGTTCGCGCGCTCACTTTGAGTTTCTTGAGAGACTTGAAAGGAGCAACACTCTGCGATTTGGAGAGAAGAAAGCGCCAAAACTTTCTTTCTAGTAATAAACAGCTACTCCGCTACAAACATGCACGTGATTAAAAGAGGTATTGTAACCAAGTTAACTTCTTTTTTTCCTTTTTTGGTTTCAGATAATTAACTGCAATAATACGCTGTTTAGGGTTATTGTTATACAATAATGTTTATGCAATCTCTCCCAATATTTGCAGAGTGAAAGATGGATGGAGTGTTTCACTCTAGTTTCCTTTCAGAAAGTCTGGTTCAGATTGTGTGTTTTTGTTTCTATGCAGTTTCCGCCGAAACATTGAACAAAGACTCCGCTGATGAAATGTCTGTTGTTGACTTCTTTGTTTGCTCGAAGATTTTCTCTTAGTTAATTTCTCTTAACATTGTACATTTAAAATAACGTTGTTTTTATAAACTAACGCTAAAAGTATTAATTGACTAGTGACGGTTGCATTATTGGCGCGCGCCTTCTGTTGTATCTCGTCAAACAGGTGTTCATTAATTGCTCTGCGGGCTCACCCATCTGAGCCGCGCCAAATAAACTCAGCAATCATTTAGCTGCTCTGATTGATTTAATAAATACCAAACCCTCTGTTGTGTTTTTAGATGGGCGCCATGAGGCAGTTAGTTTTGATAAAATCACTTCCCGCATCCAGAAGCTCTGCTATGGACTCAACAGTGACTTTGTGGACCCTGTAAGTGTAGAGAAATGAGTTAAACTGGATTCTATAATCTGCCTTAACCTGCATCATGTAACCGCTCCTCTGTATTTCTGCAGACCCAGATTACAATGAAGGTGATCCAGGGTCTGTACAACGGGGTCACCACTGTGGAGCTGGACACCCTGGCTGCAGAGACCGCTGCCACCCTTACCACCAAACATCCTGACTATGCAATCCTGGCCGCTCGGATCGCGGTTTCCAACCTGCACAGAGAGACCAAGAAGGTTTTCAGTGGTATGAATGCTTTTCATGTGTAGTTACAATCGTCCTGTTCTATAACCATACAGTGCATAGTTGTGCAATGTATAATGTGCAATTACTATTTGATTCCCAGTTCAATAACCTGTTTCTCTACATTTGACACCCAATGCAATAACTATATATACAATGATATAAATATAAATCTATATAAATACCCTGTGCAATTATCCCATATAATAATTCTACTAAAAAAGAAGCAGTCATATGTGGACTATGTACTATATATAGGGGAGTGTTGGCCAAATGGGTTAGAGCAGTGCGCTTGTGCTCTGAGAAGTACCCAGTCGATCCCCACAGCCTCCACACTGCTCCCCAGGCGGTTATTTATATAGATGTATAATCTCATGCACCTTTTTCTTCCTTTGACTGTTTGAGCTGATTTAACAAGTACATTTCTCCACTGTGAGATCAATAAAGTTAATCAATCGATGCTTTAGAAAAGTATACAACCCCCCTGAATGATTACATATTTTATCATATTACATCAACATTATTGTTGTTGTTTTTTTGTTGTTGTTGTTGTTGTTGTTGTTTTTAACCAATGCTACGTTCAGACCGCAAGCAGCAAAAACATGCATGCTGCTTCATTTGTATGCTCGTAAGTTTAATTCTAGCACACGGCTGAAGAAAAACTGGGTCTGATGTGCGTTGGGCAGAGCTACCCTATCCTTTGTTTACCTGTAATAAGCAGCTATATATGCTGTTATAAGTGGGTAAAAAGTAGTTTTAATATGTTTTTAAGTGGAAAAAGTCCACCTTACAACTCTCAGTTGTGCAGTCAGTTCATCAAGATTAGGATCCTGCCTTCAAAAATTGCTTCTCTGTCAAAGCATGCTGAGGGACCTTTTCCTGTGCCTTGATGTGCGTCAACCATTGACTTTGCATGTAAACTCACTGCTATTGCTGCCTCTGCTGCTTGCAGTCTGAACAAAGCATGAGGCATTAAAGTTTTATTAGAAAACATCAATGAACAAACAGTATCATAAAGACCTAGAAACACAGCAGACAGGTCAGGTATAAAGCTGAAGAGAAGTTTAAAGCAGGTTTGGTCGTGAAACAATATTCCAATCTGTAAAAGATCTTACAGAGCAACAATTAATCGAGCAGCAAGCCTACTACACCTAGCCATTTTCTTTAGCCAACAGGGACATCAGTAGTAAAAGAGTCGAAGTCCCTGGTAACTCTGGAGGAGCTGCAGAGCTCCATAGATCAGATATGAAAGAAGGGAATAGATTTGTAACACATTTTAGTGTGGCTGAGAGGAGCCAACGGTCTGCAAATGCATATATACGCAGCAAATGCATAAAGTACAGTAAAACCTCTTTCCCACTGAAAATACCGCATTAATGCACGTTTCTCAAACATGGGTTTATGCGTTAATGATCGGCATTTGGCTCCCTTCCCACTAGCAGAAAAAGCTGTGTCTAACCCCTAGATCCCAAGCGTGTCTGGTGGCGCCATCATGCTGGGTTACCATTGATGATGTCACCAGTGCGACAGAAATCAGGAAATTAAACAATGGAGAGCAAAAATGAAGGAAGCCAGGGCATAGTCAGTGTGCTTTATTGTTTCGCGCTATTATCCATTTACTACCTCTTTTCGTTCATGATTTCAGTTGTCACCTGCATGGGACCTGCTGTATTTTTTTTATTTTTTATAAATAAAATAAAGAAGGGCATTTTGATAACATATTGTGTACAACTTATTCAGTACAAGTATATTTAGTTGCGTAGTTTAACCATTATCCCCCTACTAATATTATCTAGAGCAGTGGTTCCCTAATGGTGTGCCGCGGCACACTGGTGTGCCGTGAGTCAAGTGAGGGTGTGCCGTGGAATTTTGTGACAACCATGTATGGTCATTACAATATAATAACAGAAAAATAAAAAGCCTATACGGTCATATCACTACTTTGTTTGCATTCATTTTCACAAAACAGAGGCAAACTACATTAAAATAATCTAAAAAGAAAAAAAAAACTCAAGAACTCCCTGACCACGGAGATGCTCAGGTAGGAATTATCATCCGGTGGCGCAAGGCTTTGGAACAGGGCACGATGGACATGTTCCCGCTGGCATCAGCTGCGCCGCAGGCAGCAAAGGAGCGCGCATTATATGCCGAACACCTTCAGAGCTTAAAAGAGAGGTTTGAGCTCCACTTTCCACATGTTGCTGATGTTGAGGATTACGACTGGATCCGAGACCCATTCAACCAGGAATCTTCAACAGAAAAACTGACAATGAAAGAAATAGAGAAGTGCGCAGAGCTCCGTGCGGACCGCACATTAAAACTCAAATTTAGTGAGCTCCCACTGGATCAGTTATGGTTGGCTTCTGCATCAGAATACCCAAACATCTCACGCCACGCAATTGAGCAACTTCTTCTTTTCCCCACTACTTATCTGTGTGAGCTGGCGTTCTCTACTCTGGTTTACATGAAGAACAACAGGAGGTCACGGCTCTCTGTTGAACAGGACTTGCGTGTGGCCCTCTCCTCAGTGCCACTAAGGGTTAAAAAAATCTGTGTGCACCAACAGGCACACGTGTCTCACTAATTTGTAAGCAGACAAAATATTTACAACAGCACACGTTTCAATGCTGATAAAAAAATGTTTCATTTTATTATTTGTAGTTCAGGACAATGGACAGTGCAGCTTCCTTGCATTGATAGTTCTTTGTGCTTAAGTTCTGCTGAGTTTTCTTTGCTTCGTTTTTAATTTTGTGAACCATGATTTAAATAGGAATGTGGCTGCTTTGATGAAGCCTATTTTGATGAGGTTTCAAAATAAATTTTGGAATATTTTGTTAATAAATATTTCATGAGTAATATAGTTGTCTTGTCACAATTTATTTTGAATTAGTACATAATTATAACAAATATTTTGCTAAACACGATGGATGACACAGGTTTTAAATGCTCTTTAGCACAATAAGTGTGCCTTGAGATTTTTACTTGTCCTTTGGTGTGCCTTGGGCACAAAAAGTTTGGGAACCACTGATCTAGAGACTACTAACATGAGGTGAAATGCAGCTTCAGATGAGCCGTGCTTGTGGTGATTTTTCAAAGACGCTTCTGTTCTAATCCACACAGCTTTGTTCTGTGTTCTCCCAAAGTCCATATTTCCCATGTTCTTTTCAAGAACTTGGCAAGGATGCAAGTATTGACTCTTGTGAATTGTGAAACAGAGTGTGTTTATGGTTTAAACTCTTCGTCAAAAACACTCTCCTTTATGCAGGGCTCAGTTGCAGCCTTTTGTAACACTGTGCCATTTGCAGAACTTTGATTTGCATGCGCTTTGTGTGTTGATTCTTCTTGTGTGTTTTGTGTGTCACTGATGTACTTGCAGGGCGTCTGAACCAGTACCAGCATAGAAGAGTATAAGCATGACCTTCTTTTTAATCACTCGCTGTACCTTCCTAATAAGATTTCTCTTACTTCCTCTGCCCTACCTTCATGTAAAACCAACAACCTGCCTGTTTCTCCCTTAGATGTGATGGAGGACCTGTACAACTACGTCAACCCCTTAAACAAACGTCACTGTCCTATGATCTCCAAGGAGACACTCGACATAGTCCTTGAAAACAAATCTGTAAGTCAACATGGGACAGCGCCTAATGTTTAGGCTTTTTATGTTCATCTTGAACTGTTTACATGAATGTAATAACCACCAATCTTTGCAGGTCCTCAACTCAGCCATCATTTACGACAGAGACTTCTCCTACAACTTCTTTGGTTTTAAGGTAAGATGTTTTGCTCTCTTTGGTAGTTGCATTTCAAACATTTAGCAGACACTGACAGGTTTGTTTTTTTTTGCCCTTGTAGACTCTTGAGCGTTCCTATTTGCTGAAGATCAATGGCAAAGGTGCGTTTCCTCACCTTTTCAGAGCTGACTGCAGAAGTATGGTTCAAGGCATATATCATTTTATAATCTTAAACTTTTTTATTTTCTTTTTTTAGTTGCAGAGAGACCCCAGCACATGCTGATGAGAGTGGCAGTCGGGATTCATAAAGATGACATTGATGCAGCTGTTGAAACTTACAACCTGCTTTCAGAGAAGTGGTTCACCCATGCCTCTCCTACCCTGTTCAACGCTGGCACCAACAGGCCTCAGTTGTCCAGGTAACGAAGGAAAAGCTCCTGTTAGAGGTTCACCTTCACACATCAAGGGGATGAATAACCTTTACTTTCTTCTTTTTTTTTTTTTTTTTTTTCCTATTCGGGCAAATAACGCAAGATTTGAGGCAGAAGTTTCATTTATTGGGGATTTTCTCGGATCCATACTGGATTTACAGGCTCGGCTATAAATTTTTTTTTACGATTGACATTTTTGTTTGTGCTTCAGTATTTGAAAACTCTTCTCATTAGAGCTTGTAAAACTGCAAATGGTCTAGTTTCCTGTTAACCATCAAGTTGAACGTCAGCTTTCTTAATCCATCTGAAAGTTGGACTATTTTTGTCCAATTTTCAGCTGTCTATCTGTTGACTTGAGTAAGATTTGGAAGTTTTCCTCTTTCTCCAGTATATCCAGTTATTAAACAATCCCACAGCATGATGCTGCCATCACCACCTCTGACAGATGGTACCATGCTTCCAGGTTCAACACATCTCCTGTGTTGCGGTGGCCCAATGGATCAATCTTTGTGTTGTCTAACCACCATGCTGGCAGGCTGCTACCAATTTTGGTTCAGTTTTAACTCAGATGTGTTCGTTTTTGTCTTTATTTAAAAAAACGGGAAAAGATCAAAAGATGGGGCCTGAATCAGTCGGCATAATTTAAGAATAGTTTCTGATCTGCAGAACATTGAAAAAACAAACGTTAACATTAAACCAACGAACACAGCAAACAACACAGACATACCGCATTTGCATTGCTCTAAAGATGCGCAGGGAAAAGTGTCCAGCAGATGGCGCCCAAGCTTTAGTGTAGAAAAAGCTCAATCTCTGCTAAAACAGTTTTTTTTATAGCTGGTAGATGCAGATAGACCAAGTGGATCAGACATTTTTATGGTTTTTAGGTCGCAATGTAACAAACTGCATAATCAGCAAAATTTAGAACCACTTTAAAATCTGTGACAAAATAAACAAGATATTTACTTTGTTGTTTGCTTTTCTGATTTCTGTCACACTGGTGACATCATCAACGCTAACCCAGCTGCAGAGGAAAGAGGTCACACAGCTACCAGCTTGGGGTTAGACCCATTTTTGCCAATAGGAAGGCAGCCAAAGGCTGATTGTTGGCGGGTCGACCCATGTTTGAAAAACACGCCATAACGCAGTATTTTCAGTCAGAAAGAGGCTTATGATTAGATGTACTCTGTCAGGAGAAATGCATACATTCTGTTTCCGAAACATTTATTTTCAGATGTTTTACCTTAAAAAGAAACTTGATAAATTATTTACATTTAACATATATTTTAACTTTGATTTGAAAGAAATCATTCAAGCATGAAAAAAGTTTTTATGCAGTTCATATATTAATGAAAATCCCAAAGTGCTACAAGAGTAAACCAAATATATAAAAAACATAAGATAAGACATCATTAGGCTACAAATGCCTTTTTAAAATGAGAAGCTTTGAAGCTCTTCAGTGTCTGTGGGACCTTAAGCTGGTCTGGAATAGGCAGGCAGTCCAGTAGCCTATCAGTGCTGGTGGCTGGTCCTGGGGGTTTTATCCTAAATCTGGAGGGGGAAAGGAAGCCAGCAGGTTCTTCACCACCTTTTTCACTGTTGAACTGTTGAAACTCTAATAAAGACTGCATCACACTTGAAAACATTAGCACCACCAAAATTGCTTTTTTTTTCATAACCCTTTTAAATAGAACACAACTGATTGTGCATGTTGCACGAAATGTATTTATTTTTCACTGCACTGAACCTTTCCATATTAATGCCTTTTACACCATGACTTTAAACAGATTTTTCTTTTCTATGACACTAGAAAAATTCTGATCACTGCTGTAAGCTGCTCATTCTCTGTTGAAAGCTGTATGCATCGAAAGTTTGTTTTGTATACACTTTGTGTATCCAAGATGACAATAAAGTTTGTCTAAGTCTTAAGCCAGTGGAGAGAAAGGGGTCGAGTGCTTGAGCTACATATAGCTCTGATCAGGACCCTGGCTGCTCCGTTCTGAACATAACAGAGCTTTTAAAGGCTCCTACAGGAACCCTGATTAAGATTGTGTTACAGTAGTTCAGCCTAGAAAAGTCTAAAGACACGGAAGCTTCTCTGCAGCCAGGAGGAAGTGATTTGGAGATTTAACCAAGGTGGAAGAAGGAAACTTTGTAGATGAATAAGATGTGGTATTAACAGAGGAAATATAACAGTATGGATTAGATGGTTAAACTGTATATATAGCCGGTGTCCTAACAGGAAAACGGCTCCTAAACTCATCAAAGCTGCTGTTGGAAGGGATAACCCTTGCTGTCATTAGGTTCCTGGAAGGCTCCAACCTTGGCTCTAATAAAAGCTGGAGGCCAACGTATGAAATCCATAATCTATTCCAGCTAACTACGCAGTTAAGCCAGGAAGAAAGCTCAGATATCAATTAGGAGGATTTGTGGCTTGTTAAGTTACATCAGTAGGCCAATGTATTTTGCAAATCTTTAATGTATCAGCAGATATGTACATATCTATTTATGTAGATTAAAAAAAATTAATATTATTTAGAGGTTCAGTGCTTAGTTCTTTTTCTGTAATGTCTTAAATCCATTTCTGTTATGTTTGTAAATTTCTCACTGGAAGCTTTGTGTTTGGTTCTGATATTTTTAGTATTTTAACACATGGGGCTCTTTTTGCAGTTGTTTCCTGCTCGCTATGAGAGACGACAGCATCGACGGCATCTACGACACACTGAAGCAGTGCGCGCTGGTTTCCAAATCAGCAGGAGGCATTGGCCTGGCTGTCAGCTGCATCAGAGCAACGGGCAGCTATATCGCTGGGGTGAGCCACAGAAACACAGCTCGGACTAACAATCAAGCCTGCTCTTGTTTATTCATTTTTTAACACGTTTTTATATTAATAACTTTCAGACTAACGGCACTTCTAATGGGCTTGTTCCAATGCTGCGTGTATACAACAACACTGCACGCTACGTGGACCAGGGTGGCAACAAGGTGAGCAGGACAAAGATTGTATGTGGTAAGGGATAGCTGTCTGTAAAAATTTTTGCATGTCTGAATTTGTAAATGCAAGTCCATAAATGTAAATAAAATAAAGATTTGTATTGTTACCTGTTATCATCTCATACATTCATAAGGGATCAGATCTTCACTCGAGAAAATACGTATGGAAGGAGAAAAAAAAAATTTGAATACAAATAACAAACTTACAGGTACAAATCACAAGTTTATACATAAGAATGACCAACTTATGAGTACATGTAACAAATTTACATTTTGAGTGATATTTCTGTTTCCATCATCTTCCTGCTCTTGTTTAATGGTCTCCCTGGGAAGGAGTATAACAGGGTTTCCACGGGTCATTAAAAATCATTAAAAGTTATTAAATTATTATTTTTGGAATTAAGGCCTTAATTGGTATTAAAATTAATTAAAATGATTTATTTAAAAAAAAAAATGTTTATAAAAACAATTACATCAGGAATATCACGATATATTTGCGTAGAACAACTTCCGATTGTTCAGAAAAGAAGCTCGAGGCGGAGAAAAAGCTAAAGAATGGGGGGGGGAGCAAATTTCAACAAAAGTGGCTGGAAGACGAGGAATTCGACTGCAGCCTGTTGATGGGTACTTGTTGATGACATTAATATTATTTCTAAGAGCATTAAAACAGCATTAAAAAGCATTAAGTTGGAGTTACTCATTCCTGTATAAACCCTGTAACAGCTTCGTCGGTATTCTTATTTGTGAATTTGTGATTTGTACTTTTACAGCTACAAAGTTGTAACTTTATTTATAGCTTCTATTCTCACAGACAAAACATCTGATCTAACATATATAAATGACTTGACTACAAGGACAACATACAAATTTTGAATTTGATTAACATTTAAAGATTCAGACACCATATGTTTTCATAAACGGTTATCAGACCCTGTAAAGATATTCCTGATAAAAGGCTGTGCAGCAACGACGGATGACAGGTAGCTGGAATGTTCCTAGAACCTTTAACTGAATGGACTGTTGGGTTTTTCCGCAGAGACCAGGGGCCTTTGCGGTGTACCTGGAGCCCTGGCACGCTGACGTGTTTGAGTTTTTGGAGCTGAAGAAGAACACTGGTAAAGAAGAGCAGAGGGCCAGAGACTTGTTCTTCGCCTTGTGGATTCCAGACCTCTTTATGAAACGAGTGGAAAGCAACCAGGTTAACCTTGAGAAAAAAAGTCCTGTTTTAAATTTCTTATTTTATAAAAGTGATACTAACCTGGTGTCTGTTCTGCTGCCCTCCTAGGACTGGTCTCTGATGTGTCCCAGTGACTGTCCCGGGCTGGATGAGTGCTGGGGAGAGGAGTTTGAGGAGCTCTACACTCGGTAGGTTCGGTACAGTGAGCTGCTGTTTTGTTTTACCTAAGAGCTGTGTTTTCTAGTGCTACCCTATCCTCCTTATCATGTCTGCCTTTAGTTATGAGAAGGAGGGTAGAGTGAAGCGTGTGGTGAAGGCCCAGCAACTATGGTACGCCATCATTGAGTCGCAGACAGAGACGGGTACTCCCTACATGCTCTACAAGGACACCTGCAACAGGAAGACCAACCAGCAAAATCTGGGCACCATCAAATCCAGCAATCTGTGCACAGAAATAGTAGAATATACAAGTAAAGACGAGGTGAATACAGTGACCCCTACAGGCTTGGATTGTGACGACGCTCTTTCTACGCATTGACCGTGCTGTTTTTATAACTTAGGTTGCAGTTTGTAACCTGGCGTCCATCGCCCTCAACATGTACGTCACCCCAGAGAGGAGCTTTGATTTCAAAAAGCTTGCATCTGTGACCAAAGTGATCGTCAGGAACCTGAACAAGATCATCGATATCAACTATTACCCGGTGCCAGAGGTACGAGCCGAGCACTGTCTGCTGCAGAGACGGCGTCCGCCCTGCAACTTTAGCTCAGAGCTAATTAAGCTATACGATACTTCAAGTAATTTGTTAATCTAGTCTTTTTGTCAATTAATCTAAAAGGCAATAGCCTCAGTAAATAAACATTTCTAGATTAATAAAGGTTTGGAATTAATAGAAAAATGCATTGCAAATTTTATGTGAATTGTAAGTAAATAATTATATATATACACTATATTGCCAAAAGTATTTGCTCACCTGCCTTGACTCACATATGAGCTTAAGTGACATCCCGTTCCTAATCCATAGGGTTCAATATGACGTCGGTCCACCCTTTGCAGCTAGAACAGCTTCAACTCTTCTGGGAAGGCTGTCCACAAGGTTTAGGAGTGTGTTTATGGGAATTTTTGACCATTCTTCCAGAAGCGCATTTGTGAGGTCGCACACTGATGTTGGACGAGAAGGCCTGGCTCTCAGTCTCCGCTCTAATTCATCCCAAAGGTGTTCTATCGGGTTGAGGTCAGGACTCTGTGCAGGCCAGTCAAGTTCATCCACACCAGACTCTGTCATCCATGTCTTTATGGACCTTGCTTTGTGCACTGGTGCACAGTCATGTTGGAAGAGGAAGGGGCCAGCTCCAAACTGTTCCCACAAAGTTGGGAGCATGGAATTGTCCAAAATGTCTTGGTATGCTGAAGCATTCAGAGTTCCTTTCACTGGAACTAAGGGGCCAAGCCCAGCTCCTGAAAAACAACCCCACACCATAATCCCCCCTCCACCAAACTTTACACTTGGCACAATGCAGTCAGACAAGTACTGTTCTCCTGGCAACCGCCAAACCCAGACCCGTCCATCAGATTGCCAGATGGAGAAGCGCGATTCGTCACTCCAGAGAACGCGTCTCCACTGCTCTAGAGTCCAGTGGCGGCGTGCTTTACACCACCGCATCCGACGCTTTGCATTGCACTTGGTGATGTATGGCTTGGATGCAGCTGCTCGCCCATGGAAACCCATTCCATGAAGCTCTCTGCGCACTGTTCTTGAGCTAATCTGAAGGCCACATGAAGTTTGGAGGTCTGTAGTGATTGACTCTGCAGAAAGTTGGCGACCTCTTCGCACTATGCGCTTCAGCATCCGCTGACCCCGCTCCGTCAGTTTACGTGGCCTACCACTTCGTGGCTGAGTTGCTGTCGTTCCCAAACACTTCCATTTTCTTATAATACAGCTGACAGTTGACTGTGGAATATTTAGGAGCGAGGAAATTTCACGACTGGATTTGTTGCACAGGTGGCATCCTATCACAGTTCCACGCTGGAATTCACTGAGCTCCTGAGAGCGACCCATTCTTTCACAAATGTTTGTAAAAACAGTCTGCATGCCTAGGTGCTTGAATTTATACACCTGTGGCCATGGAAGTGATTGGAACACCTGATTCCAATAATTTGGATGGGTGAGCAAATACTTTTGGCAATATAGTGTATATATGAAAAGTTTTTTTTTTTTTTTTTTTTTTTTTTTTTTTTTATTGGTGAGGGAAAGTTAGTCTTTCAGCAAATTAAATATTTTAGTATCTGGTTTAGGGAGACTGGTTCATTTGGCATCAGTGCAGTATTGTCCGCTGCTTTCAGGTTTTTTTTTTTAACCTAGAAGTTACAGATCTAGTGCCCCTAGTTGTCCAAAGTTGGCCATCGAGGGCCGCTGTCCTGCAGGTTATCATTTAGAGAAAATCAGCTGTGCTGAAGCAGGGAAACCTCTAAAACCTGCCGGACAGCAGCTCTTATGGACCGACTTTGGACATTCCTGCTCTAAGTCTTCGTTAACGCTGTAGGTAAAAGCGACCACCATCTGACACAACAGAACAGAACAAGCATTAGTGAAGGATGTGGAAATACATTTGAATCTGTGTGTAATTTTTTGAGAAATGGACCAAATCAGAAGAAATTAAATGCCTTTTAACTTCCTGCACCACAGGCTGAAAAATCCAACAAGCGTCACAGGCCAATAGGAATTGGTGTGCAGGGTCTGGCCGACGCCTTCATCCTCATGCGCTACCCATTCGAAAGTCCGGAGGCCCAGTTACTCAACATTCACATCTTTGAGACCATCTACTACGCTGCCCTGGAGGCCAGTTGTGAACTGGCAGCAGAATTTGGACCCTATGAGACGTACACTGGCTCTCCTGTCAGCAAGGGAGTAAGTCGTTTTTTCACATATCCATCTTGGCATGCAGATTACAGGGGCTGGATGTGTGCTGATATTTCTGGGGTTCCGGTTTGTTTTTTGTTTCTTTTTTCAGATCCTTCAGTACGACATGTGGAATAAAACCCCCACAGATCTGTGGGACTGGAAGGCACTGAAGGAAAAAATTGCCAAGTGAGTCTACCTAAAATCTTCACTTGCTCTTTTCTTTAGAAATCTGTTTTTCCTGTAGATTGTCTGTTATTAAGCTGAAGCGTGTTTATCCGTAGGCATGGTGTGAGGAACAGCCTTCTTTTGGCCCCGATGCCCACAGCTTCCACTGCCCAGATCCTGGGTAACAATGAGTCCATAGAGGCTTACACAAGCAACATCTACACTCGCAGGGTGCTCTCAGGAGAGTTCCAGGTCAGCTTAGACATTTGCTCATTTAAATCTGTTATTAAAAATAGAAACGAAAACACAGACCTCCTCGGTAGGATTCAGATTGTCCCTGATCAAGGTTTGATGATCAAAGATATCCCATTTACACTAGCCTTTTTTCTAGCCATTTTATAATCCTAATAACTGGAATTTATTGACTTGGAGTGATGTCATGGTGAGGGCTTAGTGCCACATACCTGATAGAGAACAGCTCCAGTCGAACATTGAAAGTTTAGCTCCTTTTGATGGAAGTAGCAGCCAAACTGAATACGGAAGTCGGATATCATCCCGTTTCCCGATTTCCTGAATCCCAATTCTGAATTTTAGCAGCATCACAGTTGAAATGTATGACTTTGAAGTTGGAAGTTTTTGACTTTTGAGGATAAATGGAACTCGCCATAATTTTTAATCGTATCAGAGGCTATTGGCTTACTGGGGATCAGCAGTAAAGGTCTCAGGAGCCCAGTCAGTATTTAAAGGAAGATCAACTTAAGGTTTTCAATTGTATATCTGTTCTTTAGATTGTGAATCCTCACCTGCTGAAGGATCTTACAGAAAGAGGACTGTGGAATGAAGATATGAAGAACCAGTTAATTGCTCACAATGGCTCCATCCAGGTAAATTAATAAAAATATATCTATTAGAACTAAATAAATAACTCGGTATCAGTTTCTGTATAGTGTTATAATTTACATTTTAATTAACAGATTTTAACATGCCATAACTTTTGTTTCAGGAAATTAAAGAAATCCCAGATGATCTTAAGCAGCTGTATAAAACAGTTTGGGAAATCTCCCAGAAGACTGTCCTCAAGATGGCAGCAGATCGTGGCACTTACATCGATCAGAGTCAGTCTCTCAACATTCACATCGCTGAGCCCAACTACGGCAAACTCTCCAGCATGCACTTCTACGGATGGAAGCTGGTAAGTCAGCAGCCTAAAGAACAAATGCCGCCCCGCAGTGAGGGTGGCAGCCCTCTAAGCCCGGTTCATGTTTCTCTCACAGGGCCTGAAAACAGGCATGTACTACCTGAGAACGAAGCCCGCCGCCAACCCCATCCAGTTCACACTAAACAAGGAGAAGCTGAGGGAGAGCCAGTCGGCCAAGAGTGTGGAGGAGGAAGCCAGGGAGCGCAACACAGCAGCCATGGTCTGCTCCTTAGCAAACAAGGACGAATGCCTGATGTGTGGCTCCTAAAGCAGGCAGCGACTCTCTGCAGCTCCATCACACCAACGGCTTCAAAAATCCCAAGTTTACAGTTATTTTATGATTACCAAACATTTTTAACTATGAAATGGTTGTTCTATTTATATGGAGCTAAATTGGAGCCAAAAAGTTTGTTAGATTTATTTTTTCAAAAGTATTTTTGAAACTGAAAAATTGTTTTTACAAAAAAGATTTAGCTAAAAAAATATAACTTTCAGTTGTTTTTTTTATTTTCTTTTTCTTTAATATTGCTGACCCTCTAATTAGGGGCAGGCCTTGGAGAACTTTGGGTGTGGAATGATGACTGACAACTTAAACAGTCATCTCAGGTGTTGCATTCAGGAATCGTAGTAAATAGGAAGGTTTTCTTGAAAACAGAAGTTCTATGTAAATGTAACTTGTTTTACAAAATAACATTTTGTACTTATATAAGATATTTGAGAGCCTGTTGGAAACGTTGGAACCATGATATTGACAAAGGGACATTTTCTGTGTTCTTATAGTGTAGGAAGAGCCAGACTGATAGAGCAGTGGCAAGACTGCAGCAAAAACCAATCATATAAAAATATAGAATATCAATGATGTTGAGAAACTTCCTCTAATATTTGACAGTTAATACATGGGAAGAGGGATTGAAAGGTTGATAACCTCAGAGGATAAATATATTTTCATGATCAGTTGGTGGTTGGTAAGGGAGCTAAAACCAAGAATTCCTGAAATGAGATGTTCCATCAATGGAAGATTGGGTTGAAGTAATACATAATATTTATATGACGTAATGGCTCACCTTGAGAATAGAATCTGAAAAGTGTAAGAAAAATTGGGTGTAATTTATATCACCAGTGAGATCAGATTTTGTCATGTGACGAAATTAAGGTCAATAACCTCTTAATGCCACATATTTTAAGTGTTCTTTTATTGTTATTGGGTTTTTTTTTCTGTATCCTTTTAAGATTGCATGTGTTTGGACATGGATGGACAAACATATGTATGAATAACGAAGAAGTGAAGAAAGGAATAGCGAATAAAAAAAAAAGATTTTAAGATTACCAAATGTATTGTTATCATCTAGCTTATGGATGGATTGTAGTGAACTTAGTTTGGCCAAATTTGTTGAATATTTGAGAAATGGTTTAGATGGATGTAAAAGTTTCCAAATGCACTCAATAAAAAAAATATTGATGATGTAGTAAAAACATTTCTGTTTTCCACGGTTCCTGAATGCAACAGCTATGAAAATTATTCCTAGGTATTACACTGGTTTATTCCAAACCCCATGTCATATATGGTCCGCCCACACAGAGGACATCAGTTTGAAACTGAAAGGTAAAATATTTGTTTGAAAAGTATTTTCAGACTTGTCCGTTCAAGTCTATTGTACTGTTTTGTTTTTTTGTTTGTTTTTTTTCGGCTTCAAAAGAAAAGTTTTTGAAAAAACTTCATGGCTCCAATTTAGCTCAATTTCACATTGTACAGAATGAAATATTGGATGAATTTTTTTGTACTTAATGTTATCATTGCAGTGTTTTTTTACATTTTTTTATTTTAATTAAATCCATTCTACGGCATTAAAAGTACTAGCGCAGCTTCCATATTTATCAGCAACCCTAAAGAGATGCATTAAAAGCTTGGTTGATAGTTTATTGCTGTAGTATAATTCTTATAACGTAAATGGAAAAATCCAACCTTTAGTTGGAGTAAATTATTGAGCGACTCTTTAAAATGGAAAAGATGGGAGAATATGTTCTGTCAGTAAGACATATGATAAAATAAAACAACTATCTTTAAAGCTTTTTTCCATCTATATCTTGGAGATAAATGTGTAAGGTGCAGCTATTAAGGTTTTTACTTTATTTGCTTTTTTTTTCATCGTTTATAACAGGAACTATTTTTTTATTTTTTTTACTTTTACAGCACTCAAAAACATCTTCCCAGAATTAAAACTATTAAAAACAACAGTTTGGAATGAGTGTGTACCTTGATTTAAACCTTTCTTGTTTGGACATCAGCAGCAGGGTGGGAAGGTTTTCCTCCATCTTTGTTCAGATTCCCAAACAGCTTCTTCTCAATTGTTTTTCTACTCATTAGATCGTGATGAAAACACATCAAACTACTTTGTCAGAAACATTCCAGTTGGTCTGTATCGACTAAACTGACGCTTTAATGAAACAAACCGAATCCAAGCAGAACATTGTGTCTTATGCAACACTATGGTGATGACGGTATATCTTGGGGTGATTTTCCAGAAGGTATGTAATGTGCCCTGGGAGTGATGATGCAGCAGGTGAGAAATGAATGACTTGGTGTGCTAGTGCATGCCTCCAGGGGGGCAGATGGGGTTAAACAAGCTGGGACTTGCTTCTGTTGCATCAACTCCTAACAAACTGATACAGAAACATTCATCTGTGAACCCAGTCGACATTTCAGCAGTTAGAACTGAAATATTACAAAAATATTTGTGTTCAAATTTAAAACAAAAGGACAAATGCCGTTTAGATTTTCCACCAGTAGTATTTTATTTATCTTGTTTTATTGATCAATGATAGCAGCACTAAGAGGCGGTTTCACTATGGATTGAAACAAGTTTCTATATTAATGTTAGTAAAACAGTGTTTGCTTCTCTAGGGCTCATCCTATAAAGGAATTACAATGGTTCAAATATTTTGTTAGTTGAGGTTGCAATTTCTTGGTTACATTAAGATTGGCCTTTTTTGTATTTTTTCTCAAACCTGAAATGTATAAGCATATATTTTTTTAAGTTTAACAAAGATTCTTGGCTAAAACCTAAAATGTTCTCCATAACCCATGAAATCTTGCAGGTTTAAAAGGATTGGTCAAGCTTAAACAGCAAAGGCAGACAACTTTGGCAAAACATTGGGGATTCTGTAGGATGAAATCCCTCTGATGCGAACCTTGCCAGATTCTGGCACTGCTGGTAAGATCAATGTGCATCACCTGTAAATGGTCCATAGATCCATAAATGGTTGTAGGAAGTGGTGCGACAGTGGAGTTCTGTCACTACACCTTTAACTGATGATGGGTCCTCCTGGCTATTTGGCGTTTTGTTTTTGTGGAAATTAAATGTACTTGAAAATATAAAGTTCACTATTTTCCATCCATAATTTTAGTTATTTTCCTAGCTAAGGAACGCTTTGAGCCCTAAACTGAATTCACTGTGGGAACATTTAAATATGATCTTAGATGAGTTCTGAGAAGAGGTCAGCCATGTGATCAGCATCAATTCACTGTAAAATGTTTGTGCTTTTTATTAAATGTTTGAACCATGTCATTCAATTATGCTTTGTAAAGGCACGTTTTTAGGTACTACACTACGGCTACAAGTGCTACAGTTTATGATGTGATACATTTCTACATTCTTTCGTATCAAACATAAATAATAAAAAAAACAATTTGTCAAAGATAACTAAAATGAGATGGTTTGTTTGAATCTAGATAAATCATTCAATACATTTTTTTAAGGGCCATGATACTGAATATTTTATGGATGGATAAAGGATGCCTGGATATGTGGAGATGGTTTTCTAAACCAATATTGTTTCTCTTCCTCCATTTACATCATACAAATGACACAATAACAAATTCTACACAACTCTTGATTTAAAACAAACAAAAAAAACATTTATTAACAAATAAAACAAAAAAATATTAACATTGGGTAGCAAATGGAGGGAGCAGCAATGGCTGCTGAATGCACTAATGAATGAACACATGCACCTATGGGCCTATCCAAGAAAAAAAAAAAAAAAAAAAAGCCGTAATACCTACTACAATGTGATTGAAACAGGAAACTAATTCAGGCCATCTTGTATAAACACAAACATCAGTTAAAGCCTGTGATGGACTGGTGACCTGTCCTGGGTATACCCTGCATCTCCCCCGTAGAAAGCTGGAAATAGATACCAGCACCCCTCGCGACCCCAGCAGGGATAAAGCATGACAGAAAATAGATGTATGAGTTAAAAACAGAAGCTGCGTTGGGCAGCTATCAGAACCCCTGGAGCCATTTATCCCTGCCCCATGCCTACATCTTTTTGGCCCAAATCCAACCTTCTAAACAGCACCTCTGGACATTTCCTATTCCGTGGGGGTGCAGTTGAGTCAAAGTTTCATGTCATCAGATAAATTTGACAAAAGAGACTCAAAGATCACTTTTATGAAGTCTGAAGCAGATCAGATCAAAAAGAGCAAAAAGCTGAGATATGGAATTTTCGCCCCCCTTGGCCTTTACTGTGTTTTAGAATTGATTTTGACATCACATTGATTTGTTCAATTCTATTTCGATAAATTTTGATCCCTAGTGCCTAAATTCTATGCATGTAATTAAAAAAGCGCTAGGAGAAGTTTGCTACGATCCAACAGGAGTCAATAACACAAAATTGCATATTTGATCCAAAATGGCCGACTTTCTGTGGGGTTTGGAGGATGGCTCCAAGATACTTTTTTGTGCATCCTAGTGGATTATACAAGTATACCAAATTTCATAATCCTCAATAAAAGCATTGCCTGGGGCTGTTTTGTTTTTGTCTTATGACAAAGAGTCTGAAATTTAAAGTTCAGCCACGCCTGCATACTTTGTCGCAGCAAAAATCTTTTTATAACATTTGATTAAAACACAACATGAAATATATTTCTCTGAACGTAATTAAATAAATCCTAAAATACACAATACAGAAAAAGTATACCCATCCAAATGATTGGAATCACTTTCCTGGTCGCAGGTGTATAAAATCAACATCTCGGTATCCAGACTGTTATAAATATTCCGAAGTCAGCTGCCAGCTGGATCACAAGAAAATGGAAAATGTTTGTGAACAACAGCAACTCAGCCACAAAGTGGTAGACTACATAAACTGACGGGGTCAGGAGATGCCCATAGTGTAAAGAGGTGGCTGACTTTCTGCACAGTTGGTCGCTACACACCTCCAAACTTCATGCTATCTTCAGATTAGCTCTAGAACAGAGAGCAGAGGGCTTCATGGAATTGGTTTCCATGGTGGAGCAGCTGCATCCAAGCCGCACATCACCAAGTGCAAAGCACCGGATGTAGTTGTGCAAAGCACTGACCTCCAGAACAGTAGAGACATGATCTCTGTTGTAACGAATGGTGCTCCTCCATCTAAAAATGAATCAGTTTGGGTTTGACGGTTGCCAGGAGAACAGTTCTTATCTTGCTTCATTGTGTTGAGTGCAAAGTTTGGTGGAGGGGATATTATGGTGTGGGCTGGTGTGGTGTGGCAAGGCTTTCTCTTCCAATGGTGAAACAATTTCCATAAACAGTCCTAAACCTTGTGGGCCGCGTTCCTTAAAGATTAGAGGCTATTTTAAATGCAAAGGGTAGAGAAACGTCTTATTGAACCCCTATGGATTAGGAAGGGATGTAGCTGAAGCTCATGTGAATCAAAACAGGCTAGCAAATGCTTTTGGCAATAAAGTGTATATCCCTCATTTTTGTGGGTATTTTTGTAATTGAAAATGGAACTATAATCCTAATGAGAAACAATGATCCGATGTGGGAGAAAGAAAAGGAATGTTCTCTATTATTATAGCTAGGCCTATAACATCTGTCTTATCATTCATAAATGTTTTGGACTGATATCTGTAGCAAATCAACAAATACAACCGCTTTCAGCTCTAATCAGTGATTTATGTCAAGCAGGCAGACTGAGATGTTGACTTAGTGTAATGAAACAGTGTGTTGTGGGTTTAAGTCAGTTAAAAAGAGACACAATGTCCATTAGGTTATGGAACATACAGTACCAGAAATCTCTCATGTTTTACCGTATATGTATGGCCGCCATATTGAATATAGATCTCTGGCTTGTTCTGCACATCCAACTTTCCAACCAGGAATTCTGACGTCAGAAGGTTATTTTTCCAACTAAAAACCTAGAAAGTTAGGTATCAAAGCAGAAGCAAAGGCAACAGCTTAATCGTCTGTCCACTTTTTATTTGAAACCACCACGTTGAAAAGAAACTATACCTTATACCAGTTTGAGAGTTTTAATAAATAAACAATTTTGTGATCTAAATCTAACCTTTAGTGCTTGAAAGTAAAAGATGCACATTTTCTGACCCATAATCATCATGCTACCCTCAGCCTGTGCGACCTGGGTGCAAGTGTCATGCATTCATGCTCGTCATATTTTTATCATCATCCCTTTAATGGCCACAGCAAGTTCATTTCGTTGGTGGGGGAGATGCTGAACAAGTGGGGACTTTATTACAAGGTAAAGGTTAAGATTCCTGCCCAGATCTGTGTGTTATCCTCTGCAATAGGCTAGACTAAAAGATATTTAAATATCTGCATCCAATGTGATCATTCTGATAATTATTCACTTCTGAAATCCTCCAGTTTGTCTCCAGACATGAAAGCCCCTAACAACCACTGTGCTCAGGTCTTTACAGATGGGGCGTCTATGGATCCTTCCCCCTCCTGTGAACCAAAGCCAGTGTCGTTTGAGCCGCTGCTGCCCGTTGGAGACTGAATCGCTTTCTTGTTTCCGTTGTTCTCGACCCCCTTGATTGTGCAAGATCTCCCCTCTACTTTACTCCCACATTTTATTCCCTTCATCCATCCGGCCTCTCCTGATTTTTCTGTCAGCTCAATGTTATTGAACTTGTCGATCATTTTTTTTGCAGCTGTTGTTTCACAGTTTGTTTCTTTGCTCTCTGGCCTCATTTCTTCTTGTTTTTCTGTCACCTGGGAGTTCATTTCTCCTTCCCTTTTTATCTCTGCACCCTGTGTGCTCTCAACTTTCACCTTTTCCTCTGGGCTGATAAAACTTGTCCCTTCTGTGACCTCCTCTTTAACTTTATCATCTTCCTTGTTTAACCTTACTACATGCTCTCTTTTCTCAGTTTCCTTCTCACCCTCTATTTCTGCTTTTGCTCGTCCCTCTTCCATTTTTACCACTTCGCAGTCTGTCACCTTACTCGATTCTTCTTCTTCACTTTCATTCACCTGATTCAATAGAGCATCTGTGTCCTGCCGCGCCTCTGAATCGGCCTTCCTTTCATCAGCCCCTTCCTCTTTGTGATGAACTGTCACTTTAAGCGATGTGTTTTTGTCATCTTGCCTGCTGTTAAAGCCTCTGAAGTTATTCTTGGCACCAATGATGTATTTCCCCAGCACAGAGGAACCATCCTTGGTCAGCGCATCGTTTGCAGCGTGTCCATCAGTCAGTAGAAGCTGCTGGATCCCTTTCATTTCAATGTGCATCCTGGAGACGGCTTTGTTCAGCTCTGTGATCCGGTTACCGATGTCTAATGGGAGAAAACACAAATCACATCACAGTAATTAGGTTTGCAGACGATAAAATTTAATTTAGTTTCAAACTCTCCTAATAGGCTAACACTTTAGATTCCTTATTTGATTACACAGCCTTTGCATTAGGAATAGTAAGAAATCGAAGCTTCTGGTGAGCAGAATTTCTGTGATTTAATAACACGTTTTAATTTTCCGAATAAACTTCAATTAACTACAACTTCTAGATCATTTCCAGAGGTTTGGGAAAATATGAAAATTTGGGTTTCAAATGTTAACTACTATGTAGAGCTATATTGTGCCACAAAGTTTGCTTTAAGTCTTCTTATTTTCAGATTGGAAAAAAATATTAAATTGTAATATCATACTTTTCAAATTAAGGAAATAAAAAGAAATTTTTGAATCAAATGTTTTAATTCCAGTTGTTTTTTCTGTTATAATGAGGGCTGCAATAGTAACATTTAATGCCACATGATGGATTCCAATTTGAATAAAATTTTACAATAAGGAGAAAGAAAATTGCAATTATAAATGTAAGAAAAAATATTAATCCATGAAAACCAAGTAGTTTCTTACAATATGGAAACATATGGAGCAAAATTAAAACCAAGAAGTTTGTTCAAAAACTTTTTTTTACAAAACAATAATTTTGAGTATAAAAAATCAATTTGAAACTGAAAGTAATATTTAAAATAGCTTTTCAAAACAAATTTTTCCCTGTCAGTTTCCCTTTTTTTTTTTTTTTTTTCCAGTTTTAAACTGCCCCCTGGGTGTGGGGGTGGGACAACATTGTGTCTGGAATTATGATTTAAAGCTTTGGCGCTAACTTTCCTAGTTGCTCCATTGAGGGACCGTGGAAAATACAAATGTCATCAATATTCTATTTTTATATGATTTGTTTTGAAAAAAAAAACAAAGGTCATGGTTGGAACCTGCATCTGCTTTAATCAGTCTGGTGGTTCTTCCAATTGTCTTTGAGAACAAAGGAAATATCTAATGGCAACTAAAAATAAGACAAAATAAAATTTGGTTTATTTTTAAAGCGCCAATTCACAACACATGTCATCTCAAGGCACTTTACAGAGACAATACTGTCAGATTGGATAAAAGTTGCTACCAAGGATAATCCGATGATTTCATCCAGTCATTGACTTGCAAGACAAGCTTTGTGTGGATGAGCTCGTGGTGATGATTTATGCTTGCATTTTGTTGTTGACTCTTCAGCAATCCCTCACACTGAGCATGCATGCAGCAACAGTGGAGAGGAAAAACTCTCTTTAATCTGAATAAACCTCCTGCAGGACTATGCTCAATGTGAGCGGCCATCTGCTGAGGCCGACTGGGGTTCAAGGAGACAGAAGCAGAGATACAAAAGGAAGCGAATAAACAAAAATGATGCAAAAATTTGTCAATACCTTAATGGCTTCAACAAGATTTGAGTCATTTGCAGAAATTAATGGATTAGATCAGTGAAGCATGTTATTTTGTAAAACCAAACAACGTCTATAATGTTTTAAAGACATTTTTAATTCTGACAGTTCCAGAATATTTTATTCCGGCACTGACGCTGTAAGTCATTACTCTGCATCCCATGTAATCCCCCTAAACCAAGGGGACAGCAGTTTGAATCTTAAACTTAAAAAAGTACAGAAATAAATAAAATAAGAAAAAAATAAGTCATAAACATTTATTTTTAGTTATAAATTGTTTTTATATTAAAAGTCTTTGTGTTTTTTTTTTTTTTTTTTTTTTTTTTCGTTTTTTTGTAGAAATTTTTATTTTGCACAAATGTTATGGCTGCATTTCAGCTCCATACATTTACTTACTTAAATTGTTGCCTGATCTCATCATCAAATCAAGTAAGATTTAACAGCTTGTTTAGCATCTACATCAAAATATAAAAAATCAATTAAGAAAATTAATCAATCAAACTTATAAATAAAGAATTTTGTGAACATTGGTGCCTTTATTCTGTTTTGATAAAAAGCAGATTATTAGACATTAAATAGCGGAAATAGTGGTAATTTTCCCTGTTTTTCCATTCAGTCAGGTTAAAGGCAAACTGCAATGTAGTAAATTAGTAAAAAAAACTCCTTCATAATTTCTGATAATCAAAAGCTTGTTCTTTAGAAGGTTAAAAAAAGTGTGGATAACCATGGATATTTATATTTTATTTTCCTCTCAGACCTTATATGGTTCTGTGTCCCAGCATTTTCCTCACTTAATTGGCTTCAAATAAAATCCTTGTTAATGAATATGATTTTGAGATAATCAACAAATGCATAATAAACCTCTAACATTCATTTAAAATAAGCTTTTTGTCCTCTTGGCCTAAAACTGGAGTGTACTGTACTGGTCTGAAATTATCTGATGGTTTGATGAATTGAGAGTGCGGTTTTGGAAATAGTATGCAACACTTCCTCCAGGCTGAGAAGAAAAGGGAAGCGGTCTGCCTGTTACGGGAAACATTCTGCTCATATTCATAATGTTTAGTCTGGCAGCTAAAGAATAACTAATTGAAACAGTTGAGCTGTTTTTCTCCTGAATTATCCATCAGCTAAAAGCTATTGGTAAAAAGTCTCAGTTTAATCTGACCTGAACATACCTCACACGTGATATTTTATTGGACCATGATGTTAACATTTTTTTCCTAACTCTATTTGTCTCTTAGTTTTGCTAAAGTTTCTGATTAGAGTACTTGTCTTTACTTGAACAAACCCAGCAGTACATGTGCTCTTTTTAAAGTCGGTTCAGCCTAAAAATCTCAATTAGTCAACCCTTTTTACACTTAAAATAAGGAATCTTAAAATACACTTTTAGTAAAAATGGAACATGCCTTTGTTATGTATGAACGTCACCTGGAAAATAGACCATAACCTCCAGAAACCAGATTATTGGATGGCCAGAATACATTCTAAACGGTGAGTGGCGGCCTAGTGGTTAGGGCATAGAGCTTGCAATCCAGAGGTTGTGAGTTTGAGCCCCACTCCCACAGACTTCCACTCTGGCTCCCTCAGCAAGACCCTTAACCCCACACTGCTCCCTGGGTGCCGCACAATGGCAGCCCTCTGCTCCCCAAGGGATTGGGTTAAATGCAGAGGTAATTCTCCAATGTGAGACCAATAAAGTTAAATTATCATTAAAATACAGGTGGATGTGTTAACGCTCACTGGAAATCAAAAAAATCAAAGTATTTAAAAAAAATTAAAAGTAGCAACTAAATGTTCTCTTTCTTTTAGCCAAAATACAAAGCTTTGTTAGGTTGGAGCTATTTTCTGATTAGTCACTAGCTTAGCACTAGCCGTAGCATTAGCCTAAGCTGTAGCATTAGCTGTAACATAAGCTTAACGACTTCAATGATCTCATGTTGTGTTGTAAAGAAACTAGAAAGTCTTCTGCCCATTATTTTTGGGGATGAGAAATTGAAGTGTTGGAACTGATGTTAACTTTGGTCAGAATTCTGGCATAATCATATTTTTTGAATTGATGAAGCAATTATTGTAAATTATAGGTACATTCATTTAGCTGCAGATTCCTTGGCTGTTGAATGGAAAGTCATTTTTCTGCATGCCCAACCTTCACGTCATGCTCTTAAAACAGAACAGGTAAAGGATAATAAAAACATGGTGAAAACTATGCATAAAGGACAGAAAACGCAGCCATAACAAAACCCCATTTACACTACCCTCTGAAAATTGACCCGTTTCAAGCTCAGTTCCTTACACAGTAGGGAAGCTAGTATTTTTATGAATGTCTGAAGTTTCATGATTATGGAGACTGACTGTAAGGAAATGACGCTGTCTGCTTATGCACTATTTGTAATCTGAGAACCGAGCCAGAACTGAACCGTGCCGAGCCTTACTGGTGAACTAGTAGTTTAGCGCGGTTTGGTTGTGTTTGGCACGGTCCGGTTCAGTTTTGCCATAATTTTCCGTCACGGTCCGGTTACTTTAACATGAAACAATTGTGTTAAAGTAAATAAATATGATTAAGTAAATTTGATATCTGTAAAGTATTTTTTCCTGTTAATTTTTCCTTTAATTGTGGCTGATGTACATGAACTTGCCCACATTGGGACAGTAAAGGATGTTTCTAGTCTACAACAGAAAGTATATTAACAAATGCATCTTTTATTCTAAAACTAAAAAGTCTTAATTGACTTTAAATGGAAGGAACAGAAACAAAATAAATATCTTTGTATGTTCAAAACAGTAATTTGGAATCAGAGTTTTAAAAACTCAGGTTTCTTTTTATTTAAAGTGAAAATAATATGTTAAAGCACCAACTGCTGAATTCCTGATATGTTTTAAAACTGTAAAAAGCTATTTTAATTCTTTGCCATAACATAATGCAGTACTTGGGGTGTGTTTATATCACCAGTTGGTTACCTTTCCTCTTGGTCTCCTCAAACTCCCTGCGAGCTGACTCGATGTAGCGCTGGACCAGAGCTCTGATGACCTGCTGTCGGTAAGGCAGGCTGTCCTCCGATCCCTTATCACTGGACTTTTTCCAAAGATTAGATTTCATTAAACTCATTTTTAAAGCAACAGAAAACAAAATAGATTTGGATCACTGAACGCACACTCACCACCGAGGCTATCGGAGGGTATTTTTGCTCTGAGTTATAGTTGCAGCAACAGCAGATGCGTTTAAAAATCCCCCTGGAAAGAAAACCCAATTATAAATCTAAACTAAAACATGCATATTTTTTTGGTAGAAGATTTAGTTTTACCTCAGGATGTAAAAGATAGCTTTTGGTGAAGGGATGATGTTGAAAGGCACAGGCATGGTGAGGCCCTCTCTGAAGTAGCTCAGGTACAGCTTAGAACGAGCGAATTTCCACTCTACGTCTGCATCATCCTGAAAGACAGAACAGATGTCAGGCTGCATCGCTGAGCTCTATCTTCTACAAAACAGGAACACAGAAGACCTCTGACTCTTTACCTCAATCTTCTGGAAGGAATTAGTAATCATGGCAATGAGCATGTTGAGGAGGACAATAACTATGACGAGGGTAAAGATGCCGTACAGGATCCTTCCTACAAACTCTGCTAAAACAAACTGGGGCATGTCCACATAGTCCTGGTTGGCCACGCCAAACATGGTCCAAAATAAGAAGTTAAAGGTCTCATTAAACCTGCAGAAGAGTCATAAAGCAGGGTTGATATCGTAACAATCTTTTAAGAGAAAACTACAGCAGACACAATGCATTCATTTCTGTAGAACTACAGAACGTAGGTAACTGAAAAGCCTTCGTTCTCACCTGCCAAGATGTGGAGAAATGACATAAGGAACATAGACATTGTTTATGCCACAGAGGAAGGCGGTTCCAATGATCATCAGTATAAACATGAATCTGCAAAAGGACAAAAAAACGTTATTTTTACCTCCTTTGCTGTGTTCTCTTAGCGTAGTAAACTAGCCCCACCCGCCAGCGGCCAAAATCATTTTTGCCTGCGAGTTTGGTCTAGCCTCGATCTATGCCCCAGGCCCTAAATCTGGAGGGCCAATCACAACGCAGAGATGTGTTTTGAATTTTTGGATACAAAGTGGGCGGGGTTTTGAAGGCATGACGACAAAGCTGTGCGATGCTGGAGAAACCACAAGGAAGATGGCAACACTTATTGAACAGTTCTTGTTTGACTGAGCTTTGGAATCAGTTTTGGAAGGATTAGATTTGGGGTTTTCGTTGAAACGCGAGCAGGCAGAGGCTCTACGCTCATTCATTTTTGAGAAGGACGTATTCGCCATTTTACCGACATGCTGTTTTCTTTTCACTCCCTCACCAGCTTTCTGTTGCGCTTACTACATCACAGTCAGTTGTGCTCATTGGTTAGAGTGTTCACCAATAGGCACAGACTCATCAACAATCTTCTGATGTCGCATTAATTGGGGCCAGACTAAATTACACATTTAATCTCACATTTAATCTGGTTTATCAGGCTAGTATTCTCTGACTTTTTCTCTAAGAAAGGTAAATATGCAGATGCAGTGATGCTGTTACCTCATCATGTCGTCAATCATCTTCCCTATGGAGATCTGCAGCGTTCCCAGGGACTCGTGGGCTGGCAGGATGTAAGCCAGCCGGGTGAAGCTGAGCATGCTGGTTACTGCAAACAGCACCTCAGAGATGAGCTGTGGGTCCTCCTGGTGCCAGTTGTCACGGACTTCAGGAGAAAAAGAAAATGCTTTAAATGCTTCTTATTAAAGGCTCAAAGTTAAGGGGGGCTTTTTTGCACCAATTTATTTTCTAAATTTGTTAGCAAACAAAGCCTTGTGTGTGTTTTACAACAACAAAGGAGGCAAGATCATGTGCTTGGGCGAAGAGTAGTGGCCTAGTGGTTAGGGCATAGAGCCTGGAATCCTGAAGTTGTGAGTTCGAGCCCCACTCCCACAGACTGCCAATCTTGGTCTCTGAGCAAAGACCCAATAACCCCACACTGCTCCCCGGGTGCCGCACAATGGCAGCCCACTGTTTCCCAAGGGGATGGGTTAAATGCAGAGGTAAGTTTCCTGAATGTGAGATCAATAACATTAAATTATTATTATGTATGCAGGGGGTAAAGATGAGAAAATGTTCCCACTAAAAATTATAAAGGAAAGTCGAAGAACAGTGTGAAAATAAGACCTCAATGGCACTCGGAATACAGTAAAAATGTTGATTTTCACCCAAGCGGGAGCTAAAGCTGCCGAAGTGCCCAGATGTGGCTGCAAAGTTGATGGACACCCGAGTAAACATTCTTTTAATTCAGATACTCGTGATAGCAATGTGATTCTTAACCTCCATAGGCTAGGTTTAAACAACATTAGAAGTAGACTGATTGATTGGTGGGCTGCACGGTGCTGCAGTGGGTAGCACTCTTGTCTTGCAGCAAGATGGTTCTAGGATCGATTTCTGGCCCGGGGTCCTTCTACATGGAGTTTGCAGAAACTGCCAGAGATAGAGACCAGCCCCACCGCGACCCTAATAAGACTAAGCCGGAAAAGATGGATGGAGGGATAATTAATTGGTTCTTAACTTAACCCTGTTTCCCTATTTGTGTTTTTTAGGAACAGGAATTTTCTTTTTCCTTGATGTTCTGATAGGAGGCTCAGAGGAGGATTAACTAGAACTTAAAGATGCAATAGATTGGTTTATAAAATCATTTTTGCGTTGGTCTTCGAATACACCAAGTTGCAGCTTCACCGCAAGGCATAGTAGGATGGCCAGGCTCTATTAAGTACCTGCTTTAATGGTGGCTGTCTGGCTTTCTAAATGTTCCACGGTACTGCCAACAGATGGAGCCATGTCTGTTAATGTTTGCTCATCACACCTGGCTCTGGAATTCTATTTAGGCTCAAAAATAAATATCTGATCATTATCAGGTTGGATGCTTAAAGAATATAACCTTATTCTTTTAAGATCAAATGCCCTTTTTGTCCCTTTAGGATTTTATGTGACCCATTGACATTCCTGATTATGAAGGAAAATAAGCCAGTTTTAAATAGTTTTTCATAGAAAATTGAAAAGAAGGACTTTTCTTTGTATTCAGTTCCCATCAAATTAAATCCCCTAATTAAAATCTAGTGCATGCGATTCCCTTAAGAAGTAGCAGGGAATTAAGTCCACTTATGCAAAATTTGATCAAAGATAATAATAAACTTATAATAATACGTTTTACGAAAGCTTGTGGTCATCCTTTTTTGAGGAGTATCCAACAGTTATTTGTTATTTGTAACATTAAACATGATGGCAGCAGCATTTTGCTGGGGGAAAACGGTCATTCTGAAGTGATGGAAGCTTTTTTTTAAGTTTGACATGAGCCATATGTCCAAAGCTATAAGGCAAACATGTAGAGAAAGAACCTTTAGTCAGATTGGACCAAAGGGGAACATTTTACACTGTTCTGCTTTTTTACCCGCAAAAAGCAGAACAGTTCCCTAAACATATACCCCATAGTAAAACATGGAAGTGGCAGTGTCATGCTGTGGGGATGTTTTTATTCTTACAATCATAGACAGTAAATCTGATTATTCTGATTCTAGAAGAAAACCTGCTGAGGTGAAAGTTGGCTCTGTGTAGATTTACCTTCTAGAAGGACAGCAGCTCCAACAATAAACCCGAGAAGCAATGAGTGCATAAGTCCACAGGGCATGGTAGAAAACTCAGAATAAAATATAACTAAGGTTCATAAAGACATAAAAATCTATGTTAGATCGACATAAGATATTTCTCCCAAAAGAATGAGCAAAAATATCACCCTCTACATCTGCATAGCAGTTAGAAATCCAAAATATATGCAGGTTTAATTTCAGCCAAAGAATGTTCTACATGGTAATTAGATTTCAATTAATTAATGTCAATTATTATTGTAGCATTTTGTTCCCTATACTGTTTAATTTCTATATGAATGACCTCTCTAAGCAGCTAAACTTGTGTAGAACTGTCTGAATGGTTGGAGATACAATTATAAATAATTTAATGTATGCTGATGACCTAGTAATCTTTAGTCCAAGTTCAGCTGGTCTTCAGAAGCTGCTTAATGTCTGTTCAGCATATGATGAGCTTCATGACGTCAAATTCAATCCTTCAAAAAGTATAATTTTGATCTGTCGCACTAAAGAGGACAAAAACATAATATTTCCAAATTTTAAACTATCTGGTATTTTATTGAACGTCTCAAATTTAGTCAAATATCTTGGTCATGTGTTGACAGACCGTCTGTCTGATGATGAGGACATTTAGCGTCACGTCCGAATGATATACGCTCAGGCAAATATCCTTGTCCGAAAGTTTGTATTCTGTTCTGACAAAGTGAAACTGAACTTGTTCAGATCATATTGCACATCACTGTATACGGCATATTTGTGGTGCAACTTTAAAAAAGCCAGTCTTCATAAGTTGAAGGTGGCTTATAATGATGCACTAAGACTTTTGTTAAATAAGCCCAGATGGACCAGTGCCAGTGCATTGTTTGTTTCTGTTAGTGTCAGGACTTTTATGGCTGTTTTGAGAAAGCTTATGTATAAATTTATTTGTCGTCTAAATGAGTCTAATAATATAATTATTTTACTGATGACCAATGTCATATATAGTGCAGTTAAATACTCATCTGTGCTTTGGAGACATTGGTATAATTGCCTCCTGAAGGGTTAGGTTCCTTCTCTGTTGTACTCTTATTCTTTTTTTTTCTTAGTGTATCTGTTTTAATGTATATTTAATGTATAATGTAATGTATCAATTAGAATTCATTACAAGAAATTATATATGACTTTTGTTGCTTAACTTTACAATGATGTTAACTTTTGTTGGTATATCACTTACAACTTCAATGAAATACATGGAGGTCTGTTACAACATGTTGAAATGTAAAAAACATCTGCAGGTATGCAGGTGAAGATTCTCATTCCAGGTCATAGTCATTCCAAAACAGTTTAAAAAAAAAACAATCCACTGGTCTCTGTTTTGAAGATTGAGACATTTCGCTTCCCATCCAAGAGCTTTTTCAATTCAAAATGTCAGAAATAGCGTTGAGTTCGAGGGTTTATGGAGTGGACCAAAAACAAAGCCTTGTTTTGGCTTAGAAAACATGCAAACTGAACCTGACGAACGGCTCCACCCCTTAGGAATGGGCAGTCTTTTGGGTTCTTTATTAGACTGTTATACTCGATACCTGTCTATCTCTCTGAAAGGGAGGATGGGGGTCGTTAGGGGGAATTGTTTAGCCAGGCCAACAATTTCCTCTAATGACTTCCTGGATTGGAAGTGAAACATCTTCAAACTTGGAAACAAAGTCCAGTAGATTGTTTTTCAACTTTTTTAGGAATCTGTAGGGATGAATATCTACAGAAACACTGTAGCTGAATAAATCAATGCCATTTTCTCACCAGTCTGAGTGAAGTAGATGCATTCGTCGCTGTTGCTCTGATCATGGCAGAGGAAGTGACCTTTGAGCATGATGAGCACACGCAGTGCGAAGGATGCCAAATACATGCTCAGCACCATCACGTCCAAGCAGTTCCACCAGTCCAGGAAGTAGCTCCGCAAGCCCTCAATCCAGACTTCCTTACACTCATACCAGAAGAATCCTACATGAAAGACATCAAGCCCCCTTTAAATGTCAGTCATGCCAGAGTTGCTCATAAAAGTTGAACCCGAGTGGCCGGACTCACCAACCACCCACACCATGTGGAATGAGCTGTGCAGGATGTTCTGCTGACGGGATGCAAATTTGTCTCGATACATCTCCATAGTTATAGATTCTCCAAGTAATGTGATGAGAAACCACAGGTAGGATGCAGAATGAAGGAGAAACTTGATCACTGGGATTTTAAGAATTTTTCCTGCCTGGAGAAAAACAAGAAGACTGTCAAGCTTGTCCCCTGGGAAGATTGGTTATTTCTAGACTTGAAACTCAGCAGCAATTTCCATTCAACCTTTGACTTTGGGGCAACCCAATAGACGAGGCAAAGAAAGGGCATAGTAAAAAAGATCCCAACAGAGACCAAGAGCTTCCAGATGGTCCTGCTACCTCTCCACCCTGCCAGGTTTCCACACCAGATGGAAGAAAGGACCTGCTGACAGATCGGATGGGCAACAAACTAACAAACACAGAGAGAGGACAAGGTTGGCAATTAAGGGTTTTCCCATACATACCAAATTGAACATGCCTCAGTTCGCCCACCTGCTTCTGGTTGTAGTTGACAGCGAGCCTCAGACGTGACAGGTTGGGTATTCCCTCCTCGAAGGCCTGCTCATCCAAAGCGTCCTGGCTCTCATCTCCGCAGCTGTTTAGGATTGTGGTGACCTCGCTCTGGTTGCGGCACATTCCCAACAACTCCACTGCAAACTCCTGACAGAGCTGCTCCAGGCTCAGGTACTGAGGCTGCAGGAGAATCACACATTGGTCATAGGAAGGCTTTGAGACTCTAACAAACCACAGTTGAGGCCATGTTCTACAATTAGAAAAAAACATGGTAAAATTCCCAAGAATTGTCAGCGTACTGAAATTATTGTAAGAGCTAACCAATAACCAAATCAACAACTCAAGAGTTTGCTAAACAACTCAGATCATGAAAAACACTGCAGACATCACTTGCTTCCATTTATGCCACAGGTCAGGATTTTAATGGCTTATATCCTTTAAAATAATTTTTTTGTTATTTTGAAATATTTCATAAGGATATTTCTTTATTAAAATGTTGCACAATGATGGAATGTGAGGCAAAGTAATGGCTTTGAGAAGACCAAATGGCTCTTTAAGCAGCTAATCTCCTCAGGGCAGCAAACTCTCTTATTTTAAAACAATACCGTATATAAAGTTGTTAAATCGGTTCAATTGAATGCGGTCTTTGACTTTGTTGAGCTGTGAGAAATTTGGTAATGCTGCAACATCGTGAAATGGGATGCACCCCGACAGGAAGAGGTGGCTTTGCTTACATAGCAAGTGTTTTTCTTCAGGGTTGGAAGAAAACCACTAGACTTAACAACTTAATACAGGGGTTACAAACTGGTTCCAGAATGGCCCGTGTGGCTGCAGGTTCTCTTTCCAACCAAGCAATAGCACACCAGACTCCATTCATCTCATCAAGTGAGTCCAGTCTTAACCTGATGACTTGATGAGATGAATGGAGCCTAGTGAGCTATTGTTCGGTTGGAAAGAAAACCTGCAGCTGTACTGTATGAGATGATAACATCAATCCCATTTGGGCCATAGATTAATCAAAAGCAAACTCAAAAGTTCACCTTTTAATGGCTCCAAAGAGCAAGAATGGAGGTGGCATATTTAAAATCCACACTCAGAAAATAATGTGGGTTGACCTTTAACATGCTAGAACCAGGCTTAGCTAAATTTATTTATAGCAATCTCAAAGACGGCAAACATTGCCATAATCAACAACATCTAGATGAATTTACTTTTTCCCCTTAAATAAACCAAACACCGCAAAACAGTTTTTCTACTTTCTTGTGTTCTTTTTATCTGATCTGACGTAAAGAAATTAGAATACATTTGTGAAAGGATACCTTAAATTCTGGCTCTTTTTGGGACAGCTTGCGGAGCTCTCTGCTGAGACTGAAGGCGCTGAGCATGGCATCATTGGAGGTGACGGACAGGTAGGCACGGCTGGCGATCCCACGGTAGGTGTTGATGCGAGACAAGGAGAACTTCAACAGGTCGTATTGTCGGCCGTTGCGACACTCCAGACAGGCGCAGGAGATCTTATGGGGCCATGGGATGACATGGCCTTTCTGAGTGAGCATAGTGACTATCTCGTAGAGATCTTTCTGGCAAGCAAGTGTCAGAGGAGTCACACCAGGTGCAAACTGTGAGTCGTCAATGGACCGGTCGAAGATGGCTTGAGAGAAGGATCGTACGTCCATCTTGTTGCCTTTCTCCTGGTCCAGGCGATCCAACAGGCGTTTCACCACCTTGGGCTGATTTGTGTCCACAGCCACCAGCAGAGCCTCGTGAATCTGCCGGAAGTCAAACTTGACCCCCTGCAGGAGGGCATCCATGGCATCTTCATTGCCCAGGCGGATGGAGAGGTTGAGAGCTTCCCTCCATTGGCGGTCCTCTGATTCATCCAACTGGCGAATGATGCCGTCCCCAGTCCTCAGGAGCCCACATAGAAGCTCTATCCTCCCCTCCTGAATGGCGTTGAGGAGCTCCGGAGGGAAGCGCATCTTTTTGTTCATAATCTCGCGCCATTGCTCCGGCTGGGAGCGAGGCAGGAAAGTTACAAATCAGACCAATGTAAAAAGGTCAAGATATGATGCAAGTGAAACTAAATATCCGTTGTTCTGATGAAGGTACATTGAACTGGTATTGCTTCATAAAAGTAAAAAAAAGGACAGAACTGGAAACAGTTTTAAGCACGTTTACAGCACAAACAAATCAAAGTCTACTCTTTATGTCGATGTTCACACTATGAAGCACATCAAAATAAGAGAACTTACCGTGAGGTTATCCATTCCCGGAGACAGACCAGTATGTGCTTTATCGATGTGAATCCTAAAGCGAAAGTCCCATCAGAGTCTTTGGAGACATGAAGTACATTTCTAGCAACTATTTTGAGCACCAGAGATGGAGGTGGAAGATACCAATAGTCTTGTACATTCACTCTCAATCAGAGAACAGAGCACTGTGGCGATCATGTGCTACCGCCTGACTAGATGGATTCATCATCTTCCATAAACTCAATAACAAAATTTCCTGTCCCCGGGGCCAGAGCCAATTAAAATGTAACCTGGTTAAAGTGTTTCATGCTTGGCTGGGCTGAAAACAAACTGTCTCAAACATGAATTATCCCTGGTCTCCACATTGGTAACACTGCCACAGGACAATTAAAGCGGCTGCCTTAGTTGCTCCCCCGAGAAGCAGTAGGGAGCTTGAAGCAGCTTAGAGGAACAGCTCAGAGTTAAAGATTCACTAATTATTGTAATTGATTTCTTAGATTTCTTTTCTCTTCTTACAACAGACTTTGCCCATTTAATCTCTGCATAACTTTCTTATAAAAACCTCCAAGGCTGATGATAAAGCATGTTTTAATCCGGCCTGCAACCTACGTTTATTTTGCGAATGGAAATTGGTTGCCTAATTTTTCCATCCCATTTATGATTAAGTGAATAGTAAAAATTCCTTGAAAGGAGATTACTTCTTAATTTAAACCAGGAAAACTTTTTGGCCTGAGGAGTTCTAGATTGCAAAAATTGACAAACCCAGAAGGTTTTTTCATTTGAAATGCAAAATATAAACATGTTTTGGTAGAGTTATGGCTGAAATACATCTCTAAGTGGGTTGTTCTCTCCATAAATATTTTAGAGTCTGTACACTCAAATTAACGAATATTTCATTATCAAATTAGTCCAATAATAAGGGATCGACTAATTGTTTTAGTACTGATTATAATAGTGAGTCCTTTTGGCAGAATTCCTGACACCATCAGGATTCAAACCTAAGATTCTTTATCAAAGGTGCTGAATTGGCATAAAATTATAGAAGATCAGGAAAATCATAGAAAAAAACAACTATCTCAAATCAAACGTTTAAATCATGGAATTAGTCTTCAAATTTGTAAATCAAGTATTAAATTCTGTAATTTGACTATCCATTTTTAAATAATATTTTTAAACAGATTTTTAAAAACCACAATTTATAAATCTATTGACATTTCCATATCACACATTTAAAAAGGTAATTCCTTTTTCCATTTCTATTATATTTTTTTCTCCTTGCACTTTGAAATTGTAATTAGTGTTTAAGTTACCCGACAACAGCTTATTAACAGGTTGGTTACAGCAGATTAGCAGCTCCGCTTAATGGTTTAGCACCAGTTTGATTTCCATCTGTTTACGGCTCAGTTTCAGCCTGTTAACAGCTTTAGCTTTCCTTTCTAAACATTTCATTAACTGCTTATTAACAGTTTGTTAACAGCTTATTAACAAGGGTCACAAAAGCTTAATGAGAAAGGAAAACTATTAAGAGAATTCACAGCGAGCAATTAATGAATGAAGAGGGGAAAAGAAGACAATTGAAAAATACAAAATGAAAAATAATTGACCATTAATCAGATTAATGGTTTAAGATTTGTGGTTTTTAAATCCCAATTTAGAAACAGAATAAGGAAAAAGATTATTTTGAAATGGTTATTTTTCTTTTTGAGTGACTCTCTTAGTCCTCTGTACACAACAGAAGGAGCCAATATTGTAATATCCTGCCCTGCTAAATTATTTAGAGAATTTAATACAGGACGATATCACAGGAATTAATCTGATGTCAAAATTTTGGGGAAGGGGGGCACAACAAACATGTTGGGGAGGCTGCTATGGTCAGGTGAGAGCAAAACTGAACTTTGTGAATAGCATGCAAAATGCTGCATGCGGCTAAAAAAAGATAAAAGATTGTAAACACGGTCTTCAGAGGTCACAGCTTTACGCTGAGGGATTGCTGTTCTGCTCAAAGTTAAGCTAAAAAAAAGATAAATAAATCACTGAAGCAGCTGTAAATGAAAGTTTGGAATATCATTCTTCTGCCTTTCCAAAAGTATGACCAATAACTGCAGCCACTGTTGGCAACTCTGCAGGAAGAAAAGTCGCTGTTGGCTGTCCTAATAGTCATTAGATGACATCATCACCTGATTTGCACATTCAGTAATGCTTTGATCCAGTCATAGGAGAGACAAACCAACATCGGAAATACAGAAAATTACTTTAAAAAATCTAAATATATTTATAACTATAAATTAACTCTTAAAAATTGTATTTCATAATATTTCACCTGAACCAATAGTATATAAATCAATCTTATAACTAAAAGACAGTTAACAGAGGCCGACACAGTAGATAAGAATGTGTATAAATTCTATGCAGTATGGGATGAAGTTTGAAATAAAATAAACATTATTTTAAATATATTTCCATCCTGCTTGTTAGTCCAGCGGGATCAGAGAACTACTCAGATTTAATGGAGGAGCAGAGGGGAGTTGCTTTTCTCTTTGTCTGCATCTTCATAGTTTGCTGCAGAGCGGCTGACTAGCTCAGGTGGTAAGTCACCCCTCTCCTTCAAACGGGAAGCCTGGATTCGTATCTCAGCTAGGGGGAATGAGCTGCCAGTGTGGGTCCTTAGGTGAGACCCTTTATGCCAATGCCTGCTTTGGGGAGTGGTGGCCTAGTTGTTAGGGCATTGTGCTTGGAATCCTAAGGTTCTGAGTTCCCTGGCTCCCTGAGAAAGACCACACTGCTCCCCGTGTGCCACAGAATGGCAGCCCACTGCTCCCCAAGGGGATGGGTTGAATGCAGAGTCAATTATGTTGCTCTGTACTTTTAAATGTAATGACACAAAAAAAAAACGCTGGAAGAAGAAAGAGTCTCAGAGCTGTGAGCTCACAGCAGCACTCACTGCTTGCTGAAAACAGTCAAATTAACCTTGTCTCTTAATTTGCCAAGTATAACAACATCCTTGAAATAAAACTGTGATTGCAGAACCGTTGGATTTGACATCAATGCATGCCACTTTTAAGCTTTGTATTGATAAAAGTTTGACTAATCTGCATCTATCACACTAAAGTCCCAAAAAAAAAGTTTGCAGTTTACTTGTTGCATAACTCAGATTTCCTTCCATCTTTTCACTACTGATCAACTAAACACACTAAAGCCTTATCTAAAGAGGAAGCCTGATGGACTGCTGCCATGTGCAAATGTCTTTATCAGCTCAGCGTAGGAGGCTGCCTCTACGCAATGAGCCTCTGATTGTTTGATATTTAAAACGGAAATAAGTTACAGAGTTAAACAAAAAGAGGAAATGTTCTAAAACGTTCATAACATAATTATTTTAAACTGATATTCTAACAAGGTCAACAGTGTGTCCTGATGTTTCAAGAAGGTTTTTCAATCGTCCTGATAGCAAAAACAAATTTTTATTTAATCATTCAAAAAAAAACAAGGATCTGGGTCAAGGTGCATTCACACACACTCTGGTTCTTCAAGAAAAAAACTATTATAAAAAAGACATAAAATAAAGAACCTTTTCAAATAAAGAACATTTTCCAATGAACACGAAAAGCCTTTAAAAGTTTGAAAAAGTGTGTATTCACGAAAAATACAAACATGGAGTCAAATTACATCAGCTGAAATCCTTTTTTCCCCCAATAATCAGTTTAACAGCAAAAACAAAAAAAAAAACAAATGAAAAACAGATGCACTCAAAACTTGATAGTTTTCTCCTTGTTAATCAATATGGGACCTGCTAAATAGATAAAACTATAAACACATTTAACTTTACATAACGTACATTTAACCTTTACTCTAAGCTCTCTAAACATGATCAATAATGCTTTTCTTCCTTTCTCAGGATCCTTTGCTACTTTTAAGGTTAAAATCAATTACAAGTGTAAGACAAAAAAAGAGAAATTTGAGAAATACTTTAACTTAAACCCATTTGGAGATGTTTGCATACGAGGCACATCTTTTCTTCCAACAACAAAAAGAAAAGCATAAAAACTTTACACAACATAAAAAGATTTCATGTGTCCTTTGTCTGGTTTAATCTGTGCAGATTGGACCCACCTGTTTCAGTACCTGGGCAGAACAAATGCATGACAGATGACTTGTTGACTCCAGATCTCCTTTAAAAAAAAAAAAATAAAAAACTAAACTGTATTTTAAGAGACTTTCAGGTTAAACTGATCTCAATTGTTTTGATCTAAAAATGATCCTGATGCAGAAGTTGCCTGGAGGTCTTAATAACTGTGAAAAATAAACATTGTTTAACACTAGAAATGTTGTATCATGATCGATCTTTTCCAAGAGGGGGACACGTTAACCTCCTTAGTGAAAAACAACCAATAAAACTCCTAAAAACCAAATAAATGTTCTTTGAACTCTTAAAAGTCCAACCAATAAAAATCATTTAGTAAAAACACAAAAAGTGAAGAAGCTCTCTTGTATCTTCAGGTTATGGAGCAATTTAAATAAGAACTAAAAGACGTCATCGAATATACAGAGAAACTTTGCGTCTTCCACTTTCTGTGTGAACCAACAGTAGTGTTTGCCATGAGACAATAATGCAGGTCAGCCTGGATGTCTCTATTGTGACTCGTCCCTCGTTTCGGGGTCCTCCTTCTTCTGCTCGTTCATGCGACTCCATGTGGAGCCTGGGGAAACAAGATCACGCTTTGTAAACAAACACCAAACAGAGCAAAGGACTGCGGTGGCAATTAAAAGGCTTTAAAGGTGAAAAGCAGAACTGGAAACTTTTGGGAATTTTCACTCACTCATCTCCGTTAGTTTCTGTATAAGGGTTGAATCTCCTCCAGGTTTGCTGCATGGAAACAGAGAAGCTCGATTGAAATACAATGATGAGCTGCAGCAATGGTTTGTCTTTCGTGCTCCGGAAAAAAACTATTCAACCTCATAGACCGACTAGTTTGTTCGTTTTTAAAACATGGGAGAGAGTGTTTGGCTGACAGCTGAAGGTGTTTGACCAACCTGCTGTCGGCTTCGTCCTGCCCGTCCACGTCGAACCGCAGCTTCTTCAGAGGCTTCAGAGTGGCTCCCGGACCCATATTTCTCTTGTTGGAGCGCTCGCTGCTGTTTACCATCTGGTTGATCTTCTGGAAGCGATTCGACACCTGCAGGTGAGGAAAAGGACTACAT